GAAAGGGCTCTCTCGCCCCCTGCTGGTGGCTCAGAGCAGAGCCTTTGAACCAGGCAAAATGCCTGCTTGCCAATGGGAACTTGTGAGAGAGGTGGATTGTGGGGACATCGTTTTAACACACGAAACTATTCATGGGTAACTCACAAATTTAAAAATCTTACCTTTGAAAAATTAACTCCAAGTGTATGGAAATAAGGAAGTACACATCTATTTCAATTAAAACAAGGCAGTGACATGAAAAATACTGATATATTTCATTGTATCATTCCCTAATTTATACAAATTAAGTTTATTCAAATGTCACACTTTTGTACCATAAGAATGTTTATTTTGCAAGTGGTTGTTAATTCTTCAGCTACAATTTCCCCACATTTTTACACTACCATATCCTGTTTTCTATACGCTATAAACATTAGATACAGATTTTGTAAAAAGTTAAAAGGGAAAAAGCACATTCTTTCTGCTGAATAATATCATATTATATTTAACTTAAAGATTATTCATCTTTTGAATATCAAAACTTGAAGCTGCTGGGGGTCACATTTGTCTGTAGGTCCCAAAATAGCCCTGAGGTCTGAATAGGAAAATATCTTTTATAAACTGTAACAAAACCCTCACCTCAAAAGAAAACACTACGAAATATACACAATTATATCGATAGTCAACATTTTTACAATGCCCAGAACCCTGCTGGGCTCTCAGAAATGACAGTGAAAATAGGTTTACATTCAGAAAACAGAGCTTATACCAAGATGACGTCAGGAAACCTGTGTGGGAGTCTGCTCAACTCCTACACCGTCATAAAGTCGAGTTGTTAAAACACAGGTGCCTGGACACCCAGTAACGCCAGGCAGGACAACCGTTTGCACAAAGAAATCTCAGCGAGATTAGCTTTTCCTGTTCATGTGAACGAGGTGTAATATTCAAATTCCTTAGAACGCCCCCAAGGCCCACTCCCAGGGTTGCTGGTTTCACGTCTGGGTCTGTCGTAGCCTGTTACTGTTTCCATCAAGTGTATTCCATAGCTATCCGGTTCTAAACCAGCTTCTAGAACCTTCTCTCAAAAACTGGTGTTAAGGTGCCTCAATGACAACATCCCCAAACTTCACAGAGCCTCAGGTCCACACAGAACACTGCCCACCCTGGGATGCCCAGCTTCGTATTTTTTTTATTTTCTCCTCTTACATTTTCTTTAAAAACAACAGAAGGATGTAGTATTACGATGGAACTGTTTTTCTCGAAAACCAAATAGTGTCAGCACTGCTTAGAGTCTCTAATACTTAGGCAGACTTGGGGAAATCCCAGAGCTTCCTCAGGGTAAGATGCTGCTTTTAGGCTTTACCTGGTGCCAAATCCCAAGGGACTCAGTCCCCCCACCCTGCGGCCACAGGTGGTGCCTGGTGTGGCTGTCCGTGGAGAGACTCCTCTGGGGTCTGGGCCCCTCCGTGCAGCCGACACATGTCACAGGCAGTGAGGACCCAGACCCCACCTCGTCACACACTGTGCCTTTTATCAAGTCGCGTATTTACGGCTGGGTCACAGAGGAAACTGTGTGTTCTGCACCGACCGGCGTTCAACTGAGTCACTCGAAAATGAGTCAGATCAATCCAGGTAGTGTGTGTTTTTCTTTCTCCTGTTTCTTTCAAAAACAACCTCCAGAGAAGGTTTTTTTAGCCACTTATTTAAAATGTTAATGAAGAAATTCCAGGGCACAGAAATGAGTAGCTGACTCAAGAGTTACACAGATGTATAACACGAGTTCTAAATGCATCGAGAGGTGCAAAACGAGCTGTTTTTGCTGTAGCTCTTGGCGGAGACCAGCACTCCCACCTCGACGGTTCTTCACCCGACTGCAGTGGCTGCCATCCATGTGACTTTGTTTTGTAGGGAGCTACCGTGATCAGGGTTCCACCTGTCCCTCCCCAGAAGCCCGTGGCCCTCCAGACAGTTGCCCGGCTGGGGCGGAACAGGGACAGGCACTCGGGAAGAGGGGCCCGGAGAGTTGGGGGGGGGGCGCACGCACCCGGGGGCAGATCCAAACTGTTACCCACAGTGGGAGGACCTGGGTCCTAAGCAAACGCCCAGGGAATGTGCTAGAATTTCCCCAAATACTGTAAAAGAAAAATTGCTAGCACTTTATCCCTTGATAAAGAGAAAAAGTGTCGGGGCAGCGGGTGGGCAGGCGTGACGCTCCAGGCGCACCTGGGGCAGACCAGCCCAGGCCCACAGCAGGGCCGTGACTCAGCCCAGAGAGCAAGCTTCAGTGCCGAGGCAGGTTATGAAAACAGGGTCTTGTCACTGTATGTAGTGTGGACAGAGGGGACTGCAGGACTCTTCCCAGCAGGTCACCAGGGGCATTCCTAGTTTGGGCTTATTTATTTACTCTCTGAGAGTCGTTCCTTCATAATAACTTGGTGCCCACGGCCCTTCCTGGCAGCCTGGGGGCAGTGGGCTTTGCTGTCCCCATGGGCTTGCTTCACCCGCAACCGCCTCATCTCTACTCCAGGGCCCGGCCACCCCGACTGCAGGGAGGGAAGAGGGCAGAGGCCGCCTGACCCGGCCCTTCCTCGTGCACAGTCCCATCCCGAACCGCTCTGTCCTCCTGCCTGGAAGTAGCCGAGGCTGAGATGAGGAGGGCGCCGCAGTTCTGATCTTCGCGTTTCTGAGGTGTCCACGGTGTGGCCACGAGCCTGTCGGGAACAGCTTGAGAAGAAATAAAAGGTCCATTTCTCTAGTGCAGGGACGGTCTCTGCACACCCAGGTAATTCCGGACGGACCATTCCACGCCGCTCCCTCTTCCTTCCTGGTGAGCTGAGTGCACGGCTGACTATGGGACACTTGATTCACAGAAGTAGAAAAAACTGTCATTCTTACTCCACATGCTCCGTATCAGATGGAGGACGGGGGTGACAGCTCTGGAGGTTGCAAGTGACGAACAGCCGATCTGTCTCCTCCAACAGCCATCTCCACTCACTTGCAGGCGGATTTCGTTGTTAATACAAAGCCGTTCCAGCTGCCAGTGTCCCTGATCTTCAAACACCAAGGAAATGTCACCTGAAGGGGGGGTCCTGGGCATCTCACTCATATTCAGCAGCATCAATATTGTCTCAGAAACATTTCTTCTGTCCAGTTTAAGCATAATTCACTCAAACACGAAAAAGTATTAAAACATACTTCAACTTTTCCTCTAGCTATATTTATATATAAATCCCTGAGAAGGTACCTGTCAACTTGAAATTCACTATTTACAGTTAATAAACCCCAGGGGTGCGCGCAGAGCCCTCAGCCCCAGGGAGGAAGAACTCCCAATGCTGCCCCGTGGAGAAGCATGTGGACTTCCCTCCCTGCCCCCCTGCCGCCCACTCCAAAGAGAACAAGAGCAAAAGCCTCCCTGCAGAGCAAGGAAGAAACTTGGCAACACACTCGTGGACTTGGAAATTTCCTCTACTACTAGCAAATCTACTTCCACATGGCAAAAATGAGACGTGCTGGGCCAGCTGGTGGTGAGCAGAGCCGCAGAAGCTGCCTGGACCCCACTTCCTGAGAGCAAGGGCAGGGCCGCCTGCAGGCAGGGCACGGATACAACTCTAGTCTGGAGAGAGGGACCGGTCTGTAATAATAGTCTAAATCTATGGCTCCCAGGTATTATTAAAGTAAATATTTAAATAAAGTGCACACACCACAGCCACTCTACAACCTATGTGGCCAGAGACCCATGAGAATCAGAATTTCAAAGTGCTTTGGAGACAACAGTGTGGACAGAAAACCCCCACTGAGAGTTTGGGGTGCAGGGCAGGCAACTCACATCTTGGAAACACTATGAAGCCGGCATGAGGATGAACTAAACGTGGGTGCGGTCATCACAGGAAAATAAATGTACGTCCACACAAGGAACTCTTTGCACCTGAATCTGGAGGAGGGGCTGCCCTGTCCGCTCCAGGAGAATCTGGCTGAAACAAGTTTGCTTAAAATTCCAGCCCAGTCACCTATTCTAAAAATCACTCTCCGCGCCCCAGGTCACTACTGTGCAGCATTCCGGGTTCTTTTTTCCTCTTACCTCTTTTTTACATTTTAAGGGTATCTGAATTCGATTTGTTTAAGAGCACATATGACTTAATTTTGTAATTCTGGTAAGTATTTATTAAATTTGCCCCCATTTTATCCAGGGATAGTTTTTTCTCATATCTATTTTTTTTAAGATGTTGTATCCAGTTTATCTAAAACCCTTTGCTTAAAATGAGTTTAGTTCCAGCAACAGATACATGTTTGTCTCTGTACTGTGTTGTAATTTGACAATATAAGTTTTTCTTCATTATATTTTACTGTATGGAAAAGAGAGTTTAAAAAACAAGAGACGATGAAATCAGATCTCTCTGTCTCCCCGAGATCATTTTGCTATGCAGGTCAACGCCTCCATCAAATATGGGTATTTGTCATCACTTCATCTACTTAATAAGAATATTCAGGGCACACATGTACCCACAATAAGAAAAGGAAAGACCAAAGCAGCAGGAAAAAAAAAAAAGGTGGAGGGGGAATCCCACTCTTTCTGTGTGTTTCTGTGTGAACTCTTACAGACATCACAAATATTTATTGCTAGGACAGTATTTTAAACAAAGGGTCTTCCGACAAATGAATTAAAACTGCCTTAAATACAAAGAGCCTCATCGCTCGTAAATTGCTGCAAATTTGATAAATAATGATTAAAAACACTAAAATTATCCAGAAAACACCCGCTGATAAATCGGCTCAAAAAAAATTCTTAACTGATTCTCTGAAGGGAGACTCAGGCCAGTTGCCCACTGGGTGCCCCACCGCCAGAACCGGCCTTAGGCCGACCGACTTGCGCCACCCCCAGTGCCCGCGCGGGGGCAGCCTGCGCAGACAGCGCGGAGACCCGGCCGCTGGGCGACCCGGGGGGACTGTCACAGCGCAGGGTAGGCGGCGGCGCCCCCGGCGGCCGCGCTCCGCACCGAGCCCCGCGCGGGTCGCGCCCTGGCTGTCCCCGCGCCGCCCCGCGCCGCCCGGGCTCTGCGCCCGCAGCCTTCTGTCCCCCGCCCGGCGGGACCCTCACGTCCTCTTCCTCCAGCGCGACGCGCGCCGTTCCTTCTGCGCCTCGGCCAGGCGCTTCTTCTCCGCCTCCTCCGCCTTCCTCTTCTCCTCCTTGGCCTCCTTGTACCGCCACTTGGGGATCTGCAGGTGGGCGCTGTCCTTGGTGCTGGCCTTCCGGGCCGGCCGCTCGGGCTGGAAGGTGGGCGCCGGCGCCTTGGTGATGCGGACCCGGGGGACCACGACGCCCGGCCGCACGCTGCTCCGCCTCAGCAGCTGCAGGGGCAGCAGGCTGGCCTTCCGCGACGCGGGCGCGGCGCCCCGGGCCCCGGGCTGGGGCGCAGGCGGGAGGCTGGCTCCGGGGACCCCCGCGCTGGAGGCCGCCCCTCCCGGCGAGGTCCGGAACTCCCGCTCCCGGCCCTCCGCCTTGCCCCTCTCCGGGGCTCGCGTGTCCTGCTCCGCGCGGGCCGCCAGGATCTCCTGCACCGCCAGTCGCCTTTTCCCCACGCAGGGGGGGCTCTCGGGGCACACGGTCTGGCAGACGATGGCCACGGCGGGGCTGTAGAGGCTCGTGGTCATGCGGACCATGTGGTCAAGGACGCCCCCATCCTCCAGGCCCTGGCTGGAGCGGGAGGTCAGCGCGGACCGCACGAACTCCGTGAGCCTCTGCAAGCAGTTTTTGGAGCCCGCGGGCTTCACCGCCGTCTCGGGGGGCAGCGGCAGCTCCGGCTTGTACTTTTCCCCGAACTGCTCCGGGCAGGGGCGCTCCAGCAGCCTCTGCATGAGGCGGACGGCCTCCACCCGGCCCGTGTACGTGGCCCACTCCTGGGACGACATCCCGCGGCGGGGGTCCCTCGCGTGCACATCTGCCCCTGGAAAACAAAACACACGAACAGAGTTGGGGGCTGCAACAAGAGCTTCGCCCTCCCGAGGCAGAGAACAGAGCAAAGGCGAAATTTGCAAAGCCTAATAACAGACTCTACCCTAGAACCCTGCCACTCAGATGAAGCTGACGCTGGCATCTGGCCAACACCTCGTGTGTTTACTATTACCACCTCCTAAGTGCTCGGTTTGGTGGTTTCTCTTTCCTTAAAAACAAAAAACAAAACAGAACAAAAGCCTGGATTCAGCGCCTAAATTACAGAATTTTTTAAAGAAATAAGATTCCATGGCTTTTCGCTGATGGAGAGATGGCTACACGGCAAAGCTGCCTTGCAAACACTTGAATGATGCAACTAGAATGTTCTAAAAATACTAACAGTAACAATCATTTGAAAAGCACTTGGAGCTGCATCTGTCCTCTGGCTTTTTCCTTTTCTTTTTCTTTTTCTTTTTTGAGACAGGGTCTCTCTCTGTCACCCCAGCTAGAGATTAGTGTTGTCATGATAGCTTTCTGCAACCTCACTGGGCTCGAGCGATCCTCCTGCCTCAGCCTCCGGACTAGCTAGCTGGGACCACAGGCACGTGCCACCACGCCCAGCTAACGTCATCTCACGTTGAGGATTGCTGTGGGTCCTTCCTGTGGGAAATGGCTGGCCCTGCACTTCTCCCACTGGGTGCTGAGATGGCCACAGGTCTGCACCTTTACCAGATGGTGGGCTTCTTCGGGACAGAGGCCAAGTCTAACTTATTTTCATTTCCCCAACACACCTAGTCCTGGTGGGTAGGAGGCACGCGTTTAGCAAAGGCTTATTACACAGTGGATGGCAGTCACAGTGGCTGAGGACCTGCCTGAGGCACAGAGCTGGTCACGGACAGAGGGTCTCACACTTGGGTCTCCCGACCTCAGTCCAATGCACTTCCCACCATCCAGCAGGGCAGGTGTGGTGGTCAGTTTCAGTTTTAGTTTTCTGTGTCAACCTGGCTAGGCTAAAGTACCCAGTGATTTAATCTAACATTAATCTAGGTGTTGCCTTGAAGGTATTTTGTAGCAGTGTTTAACATCTGTAAGCAGGTGAGTTTTGTGTGTATGAGAGAGAGAGAGAGACAGAGAGAGAGTTTGAGAGAAAGAGATAGGGTCACTCCCTGACACCCAGTGATCATAGCTCACTGCACTTCCAGCTCCCATCCTCCAGCCATCCTCCTGGCTCAGCCCCTGAGCAGCTAGGACTACAGGCATCTACCACCACTCCCAGCTATTTTTATTTATTTATTTTTTGTAGAGATGGGGTCTCATTGTATTGCCCAGGCTGGTTTCAAACTCCTGCCTCAAGCAATCTTCCCACCTCAGCCTCCCAAATGCTGGGATTACAGGTGTGCATCATCGTGCCCAGCTTTAATCAGTTGACCCTAATCAGCCTTAATCAAGGAGATTACCCTTCCTAATGTGGGTGGGCCTCATCCAATTAGTTGAAGGCCTTCACAGCAAAGCCTGAGTTCCTGGAGAAGAGATCCTGCCGTAAGACTGCAGCACCAACACCTGCCTGAGTTTGTAGCCTTTGTTTAGGCTTAGCAATCCCCATAATCATGTGAGCTGATTCTTTAAAATAAATCTCCTACTATATACATCCTGTAGGTTCTGTTTCTCAGGAGAACTTTGACTGAAACATCCCACAGTCTCCCTGACACCAGCCATTTCCTTAATGAATAACCCCACACCACCCATTGCCCCCAAATATCACAAAGTCGAACTTCAACTCAGCATGACGAAATCTGCAGAAATTTAACTAGGTAGTGTAGACATTAATATGGAATTGCCGTCCTATTAATCTTGGTCCAATCTCAGCCCCACATACAGTTAAAAATCATTCAGGATTTCAAGTCCCATTGGTCATAACTCTCGCGGCAAGGCAATGTGGAGAAGTAGGGCAATTATCTAGTCTGTGAGCTCCTTGGGGACCCGGCTGGCAGAGGCTTCTTCATTTATATCCCACGCAGACCCAGGTGTCTGACATGTGGCGGCCGAACAATGTGTGCTGAACTGAGGGAGGCGGGGCCCCGGCCGCTCCCTGCCCGGCCAGCCCACAGTGGCCTCACCGCCCGGGCGGACCCCGCTCACCTGAGTTCGCCCGGTAATGGTCTTAATTCCGTGACACATTAAAGAATAGCCGTATTAGAAGAGTGGTAATTATTTGGAACTGGAAATTGGGATGGAACTCATTAGCTAGAGTACAATTTATAAACTGACTAAAATGAAAAGGGGGCAGTAAAAATGTCATTGCAAAAAATAGATGACACATTAAACCTTAATTAATTGCATGTCACTTAAAAAAGGAACAAACTGCAAAATTAAAATCTTAATGAACACTGCTTGCGAGAGACATTTTTCAAATGCGAGTGGAAAACCAGAGACAGAGCTGGCCCACGTTTTGCACTCTTCTTCCTGTTGTTCTCCTGCCTTTTCAAAACGATCTCAAAAAATACAAACACTCCAAGGAACAAAGGCCGAATCAGCCCTAGAATCCAAGTCAGGCTATAAATTAGAGATCCACTTCCTTAGGAAACTACTATTAAAGGTAATGTTAATGGCCTGAACATAGTAATTAAATTACGAAAGACAAGTACTAATGATTAACATTTTATATGAATGCTTTTCAGAGAACACAGAGGACTTACGAAATGCCACCGTTTCCCTCTTCTCCCCTGTGGACCCGGCATCCTCACCTCCCACCCAGTGTTGTTTCGCCCAGGGCTCCAAACATGTAGACTAGAGCTGGGCTCCTGCTAATGGGCCCATCTGCTGCCTTGTTGAGCGCTGCAAGTTGTCTATGCAAAATCCTGTATTTTATTTGGGCAGCAACATGCTCATTTCTAGACAATGCATGATGATCAGTCTCACCCGGGGTTTCTGAGCCTTGGCACTGTTGACATTTTGGGCCAGGGAATTATTTGTTGTGGGGCCCGTTCTGTGCAGTGTAGGACTTTTAGCAGCCTCCTTGGTCTCTACTCTCTCGACGCCAGTAACACTCCATCAGTTGTGACACCCAAAAATATCTCCAGACATGGGCAAATGTCCCCCAGGGGCAATGTCACCCCCAGTTGAGAGTCACTTCTAACCTAGTGACTGCAATCCTGTTCCCCATTTCTCCAGCCTCCCTGACAGCTAAAAGTGACCAAGCAACCCAGGGCTGGTCACTGATCCCTAGAGATGGGTTCACCTCCCGACAGAGGGGTCAGTGTGGCTGAGGCTGCGCTTCTACTCTAACACCAGCTCTGGGGAAAAAGAAAAACCCCCCAGGGCGGGGACTCTCAGGAAATCGGAAGTGACAAGTCAACAACTCCGGGGAGCCGAACAGGAAAAACAACCTGCCCCCATGATGCTCTTCTAGGAGTCTACAGGCGCTCCAGACAGTGACGCCACCTCAACTCCTGGGCTCAACCAATCTTCTGCCACGCCTCCCAAGTACTGGGACTACAGCGCATGTCCACCATGCCCGGCTAACTTTCTTGTCTACACTATATCTGTATTCGCAACTTCAATTCTCCTTCTCTATTTTAGTAGAGATGGTTCTCACCTCTCTCCGCTCTTCAAACTCCTGACCTTGAGCACTCTCCTGCCCCCCCTCGCATCCACAGAGTGGCCTACGGCATTATACTGCTGAGCCCGCGCGCCACGCCCTAGCATGACTGTTTTCTTAAGCCTGTCCTACGGCACGGATTTCCGTTCCTGCGCACAAAGGCTTCCAACAGGTATTCAAGGGAAGAAAATCTACTTTCCCACCCATTCTCAGGAACCTCTTCTGGCGGCTTGCAGCAGCGCGTGCGCGGCGAGCCAGCAGCCACGAGTCACATGCGTACCCTTTCCTGGTCACCAGGGACACGTGGCGCCCCCTTGCCACAGCCCCCTCCTGGCGCGCCACACTGCCTGTATCCCTTCGGGCACCTCGCTGCCTGCTCTACCTCCTGGATCGGGTCCCCAGAAGCAGCACAGTGATCGACCCCCAGCGCTGAGTGACAGGCGCCACCCCTCCTGTGCATGGCAACTGGCACGCGGGCCCAGGGGTCTTCCCGGGCAATCCCCGCCGCCGCCGCTCCTGGTGGTGCATCTCTGTGCTGTACTCACCAGTGTTACGAGACCTCTAGGCAGGCGAGTCTGCTGGCAAGAGGGACCGCGCTCATCTGGTGCCGCTACCGCGGCTTCACTCGCTGTCCTCCGACGACTCCCTCCCGTCACCTCACTCCTGGGGCCCCTTTCCAGCAAACCCAGCGCGCAACCGCTCCTGTCTCCGAGGTTCCTTTGGGCGCACAGTGGGGTACTCGACTTCTCGCTGCTTCTCCTCTGGCAATACTTTGAAAGCAATTCACGTGCCCACGTTCGCCAGCGAAATCCTCATCCCACTCCTCACCCCTACCTCAGCACCCCTCGTCGCCTGATCACCTCACCCCCTGACCTCTCACGACGCACGGCGGCTGTGCTCTAAGCGGCAACGATGACCCAGGCCCCGCTCGACAGCGGAGTATCCCTCTGCTCGTTCCTCACCTTCGCTCACGCCTCACCGCTACCGAACTCCAGGAAGAGCTCACACCGGTTCCTCGTTCCTGCGCAATCACAGGAATCGGCAGCGCATTTGTTTGGCGTCGTGTTTTGGCTTCCACAGGCGCTCGCCGCGACCACCCACTCCCAGCGTTTCCGCGATACCTCACACGCTGACCGCTCGACGCTACCCCGCGTCGGCACCCGCCAACCCCACCCAGTCTCCTGCCCTCCTCTTGACAAGCAACACATACCTCCTCGCGATCCCTCCCTCCAGCCCCGCTCCTCTTACCGCACAACCCTGTCACTTTGGGCGCGCATCTAAGTCAGTTCTTCGCGCACTCCAACAAGACTCCTGGCTCCACGATGGCAGCCAACACTACTTCCCTTACGGAAGCCAAAAGCACCACCGCCCAACCCCAATCGTCCAGCCTTTTCAGACACCCCCTGGTTGCTCTCTCTTCCTTATTAACACCCAAGTTCTCCATAATTCCTAACCTTCATTTTTCCTCTACCATGACCAGCCGCATACTCACCGCAGCTGACTCTGTGCTCATCATGTTATCCGCACACCAGGAAACCTCTAATACAGTTGTACCCGGGAGGTGTTGAACCAATTCCTCACTCTGAAAGGAACTACGTTCCGCTAGCTAGATATAATCGCAACATGCAACGGCAGGTCAAACATACAGCCAGCGTCTCGAAAACATACTGCACTTAAAACAATTACACACTGAGATACCCACATTTTTTAACATTAATGATGTAGCCTCTGTCTCCGGTTTTGCCTTTCTTACAACTTACGCACAGGATGACACTCTCTGCGCAATAGCTCACTGGACTTACCCTCTCCCAGCATACATCAATCCACTTCTCTTATGTTCAACCGTGTCAATCTACTAACATTTCAACGCAATTATGCCTTTCAAATGCCTTCAGTTTCTCTCTAATATCCATATATCTCACATAATCACAGGGCGAAATGAAGCCAGCCAAACAAATACTCTCTGTACACATCTTTTAAAACTATCACCACGCTCTTTGTTTGATAGACTTTATCAACACGGGAACCTTTGGTCCTGATAAAATCACCCCTCTTTTACTCCACAACCCACCGGGAAGCCCCATTCAACACATACTTGTTCTTTAAACAAACTCACCCACTTCTACTTCTAGCCAAACGACAAATGCGACCCTTTTCTGGGACGAAGAACTGTCGCAGCCTCACTTAGTAGCTCGATCGCTCCCGCACACCGCCACTACCTTCCCCTACTCTCACTGAAGCTTCGCACTGCAACCACCCCTCAGCCTCAACAATCTCGCACACGCGCTCTCTCGCTCTCTGACTTGCAGCCAGGAATCCAAATGAGCTCTGCGCGCACACTCCGCCGCGGCACACGCGCGCCTCTCCTTCTCACTCTCTGCTCTCTTCTCTCACTCACGCATTAGCTGCTCCATCCGCTCCCCCGGCCTCTTCCCTACACACCCCACCCCCATCTTCTCCGGGCTCTCTCGGCTGTCACCCGCTGACATTCTGGCTTGTCCCCCCCCGCCTGCGCGGCCGCACACCCCGCTCACGGCGCGCGTCGTCCCCCCCACCGGCAGGGGCGCTCGCTCCCAAAGTCTCCTCGCACGCGCCCCGCACCCCCCACCAGCAACAAAAGACTTCTCTGGCCCTGATGGCCACTAGCGCTGCAGACTTAAGAAACTCTCTGCGCTCACTCCGCTCTACCCTACCTCGCTCCACAGTTAAGGTATCTCATCATGATCCTTTTCAAAGGAAACCCTACACTCACTCTTTTATTCATTTCACAAATAAGCTACTCCGCCACCATGAACCTCACCAACTCTGAACCACACCAAACAGTAATCCAACCACGCTTTACTCGGCAGCTCTGTCCGTGCACGGCACACGTTGCGCTGTCTGACTCTGAGCCTCTCAACCATTGCACCTGCCTGTGGGAGGCTATCATAGCGCTCCATTTACAGCAGCGGAAACTGAGGCGCAGCAGAGGTTAGTCGCACTGGCTGGCACGGTGTAGACAGCCGTAAGTGCAGGGGCCTGCAGGTGAGCCCAGGCGGCTCACGCGTTCGCGCCTCCCGGGATCGAGCTGGTGCTTCACCCTGCTCTCTGTCACCACCAGTACGGGGCCGGCGACGGCACACACTAAGACGGGGACGCGCACGGACGAGGGCCCGCCACTCTAGCAGATTTATCTTCTAGACTCTCGAATGCGGGACGGGCTCACAAAGCGGGAACCGGGAATAAAGCTATACACACAGCGCGCGCATCAAATTTGTATCCGCACCCCCTGGGAGCAGCGGGGCAATAATGTTGAACTGCAGCCCACCGCCCGCCCGCAACGCAGCGCCACCCCCTCGCGCCGGCCCCCGACTGGCCAAGGTGCCACGAACTCTGCAAGTGCTGGGCCATGTCCTCCGAGACCTCTGAGAGACCCGCGGGGAGAAACCAGGACACCGCAACCAGCACAGCACACATTTCCCACAGTGACCCCGCTCGAGCAAGGCAACTGACTTCAAAAAAGACGAGTTCGTAAGTTCAAATTCAATTCATCGGGAAACATGCACTGCGATGTAACCTGAACCGATACCACCCTGTTCCAGTTGAAAAGTACAACTTCTGAACGCATCTGACACTCCAATTCATGACTACCCAGACAGGCAGCTAAAATCAGGGAACCTTCGCAACCTACAGCATCCCCACGTACTCCATTCATTTAACTCAGCGGAACCCGTTTCTCCATTCATCGTACACCACACGGCAGGGCTAACTCTTGCTTGAACTGACTCTCATTTTGTCTTAAACAAAACGAAACTGTCCCCAGAATCAAAACGGCACAATCAACTGCTTCTCCTTGAATTCATGCATCCTTGTTTTTTATTTCCAAGACGGTTTCCATCTTCAACAGCTCTACTCTTCCTATCACTGGATTCTCATCTTTTCTAATAACATCGCTCGTAAGCACATTCCAGCGTTACCAGCATAGGCGGCAACACAAACAAACACCCAAGGCCAATTGCTGACACTCGCATCAACCCAGACTAAACCAGAAACGCCCAAACACACAGACAGCGCCAGGTTGCTTACACCTGGCAGTATGGACGCGCGCACGTCCGCAGCAGCGGACCGCAACGATTACAGCTCGAGACACCGCTCAGCACCAGCAGGGGCACTCCAGGGACAGGGTGACCAGCTCAGTGGGCGGAGCCTGGCTGCAGTCCCTGGAAGCAGAAAGCAGGCGAGACACCGCTGATGGACGGCACTCGATGCTGGGGGGACAAGCTCCTGCTCCCTCTATTCTCAGGACTGCTCAACACGGGGAACGCCGCCCATCGTTTGTGCTCCGGCCCCCCCCCAAAATTCATACGTTTGGAACTTCACCCACCACCCTGTGACCAATGCACCGAGAGGCTGCATACGCGGCAAGAGGGCCTGCTCTCCCACGCGAGGTGCGCTCGCCTGCCTAAAAACGAGGCCTCACGGGAACCTCCTTCGCCCGTTCCACAGTGAGAGGGCACACACAATGAACGACTCCCGAACTCACCAGACTCGAATCCCCGGCCGGGCCCGTCCGCCAGCCCCGCGCCGCGAGTGTCGACTTCCCAGCTCCAGCGTGAGGCAGCCTACCCTCCTATACTCGTACCACCAACTAGCGCACGTCTTAGCGTACTTTTGTTAGCAGCAGGCCGGAAGCGTAAAGCCACAGGAAAGTGCACCCGTTCAGGAACTCACCTGTCACGTGGGGCATTTCTCACCGAGCGCCAGTGCAAGAACAAAAATGACAGATAACGATTACACACATAACAGCAGTTACAATCCGAAGCAGCATCGACACTCGCGGGATGTCCGCTCTCGGTTCTCCAGCAGCCGCCCGTACTCTTGACACACGCCCGCTTCCCTCGTTGCGACTTTCCTGCCCAAAATACCCACTCATGGAAGCATCGCTTCAGTGCTACGACATGCCCCGCGTCCCGGATCTCCATTTCTAGAGTGAGCGCACAAAGCGATTCCGCCCGCCGATTTCAATGTGTGGCATGTTAGCTCAGTCAGTCCCATTGCATCCGCGTCCACGGCCTCCCCGAGCAGTTCCGCCAAACTATCATCGGTAATTCATCCTCGGCGCGGAGCCTGGGAGGGAAACGAGGTCTCGTCTATGCCGCCCCTCCGCATTTCACAGATGGGGACACGGGAATGCTGCTTTCCCCAAGAAGTCGCAAAAGGCAAAGGGGGTTGCCCAGTTTTTCTGAAGGTACAGCCTGAGAACTTTCCAGTCTGTGACACACCACAGGAGAAGTAAACTGCCACACACCACATCACCGTGCAAAGCCAGCCACCGGCAAGCAGGGGGCTGGGACGGCCTGGTCCCTCCCTCCCTCCTTCGCCCACCTTCAACGGGACAGTCTCGCTGTTCAGAGCCAAGACGGAAACCCCATTTGTGAAGCGGGACAGACACGGACAGGACCGTGGGCAGGAGGAAGCTAGGGAGTGAGGGAAGGCGCCACCCCCTCCCCAGCTCAGCTGGGGACAAGGCGAGGCGGGGTGCTGTTCCTTCCCTCGGAGACCCTGAAGGCATCTGCTTTTGGGGTTTTTTTTTTTTTATTTTTAACTGAGATGACGGCCATGCACCTCCACAGGGAAACTATTCCCTGTTGCAGCTGGTTGGCTTTGTTTCTGCAGGAGCGATCCCTCCCCACACACATTCTTCAAGGGGCCGCCCGGCCGGGCGGGACCTACCTGCCAGCATGAGGGCCCGGACGCAGTCTGTGCGGCCCTGCATGGCGGCCTTCATCAGGGCCGTGAACCCGAACACGTTCCTCCGCTCCAGGTCAAGCCCGGGGAAATAGCTCAACAAGTAGTTGGTGATGGTGGCGTGCCCTGTGGAGAGAATGGGACACCTGTGTGGGTGCGTGCTCCCCCAAAACGGGCTCGGTCCGGCGAGGCCTTCCCGGAGGAGGGAGACAGGAACGCCGAGTCATGCCCGGGCCCCATCTGCCGGGTGTGTCTTCTTCCTCCCTCCCCGGGACGGAATCTCCCGGAGCCCGGGAAGCGGAGGAGGCAGGCGGAGGACGCAGGCCCGGCCACTGTTCCGGGTCTCTCCTGTCCCCTCGGCAGGCCCTGGGGGCTGAGCTGTCCCCTCCCAGGTGAGGAGGGACGTGGGCCTCACGCAGACACGGGCGGACGGGATGCGCAGCTCCCAGCAGGAGCAGCCAGGGCAAACAGACGCGAAGCTGCAAATGAGCTTCGGAACCATTTCCAAGTGCTCCGAGCGTCTGGGAGGAAAAAGTCATCCTGCAGCAATAGGATGCTGCCAATTCACGCTGGCACCCTCTGTCACCGCTCGGAAGCGCGAGTCTCTCGCTCGCTCACACACACACACACACACACACACACACACACACACACACACGCTCCGCGGGGAGGGCTGCAGCCCGGCCCCAGCCATAGCCTCAGCAGGTGGGAATATTCACTCGAGAATGCGAATTTCTCTCCTTCCGCACTTGGCATCTCCGGAAGGGCTCTGACTCTCTGCTCCTTCCCCCCGGGGTTCCCACAAAGCCCGTGGAGCTCTCAGTTAGAGGTCAGGAGAACTCGGTGTAAAAAGCAGGATTTCCGGGATTCACTCCCAGAAAAACCACAGTGGAGCGGGAGAGCCTCCTCAAATGGAACTACCTCGGCCACAGAAAGCGGCTCTCGGGTCAGTTGTCCGTGCCACCCGAGGCCAGCTAGCCTGCCCCACGCCCCACCCTCCCCCACTTCAGCCCCTAGAGCCGGGCGCCACCCTCAGCTGGCATTTGGGGCCGCAGAGCTCTGTCGTGGGCTGCCCGTGCACTGCGGGATGCTTAGCAGCGTCTCTGGTCCCCGCCTACCTGGTGCCAGCAGCAGCCACCCCCACTCCTGCCCAGGTTGTGACAACCAAAAATGTGTGCAGACACTGCCAAATTGCCGCTGGGGGTGCAAAGTCACCCCGATTGAAAACCACCGTCCTAGAGGCTCGAACTTCACTCTTTCCTGACCAGCCATCCCCCTGCCCTGGCTGCCACCCCCGCCTGGCCCCTGCAGCTGATGGCTGAGACGCCCTCACCTCGGGGATGCGAGACGTCTGCAGGGGTCCCTCTTCTGACCCCGGTGGAGGCGCCAGGTGCCCAGTCCCCATCCTTACGTGCCATGACCCAGCTCCTGAAGGCGCCCCATTCATCCCAGCCGTGCATGTTCCTCGGTCCCCACGTGAGGGCCCTGGGACGTTTCCACGCGCTCTCTCTAACTTGGAATCACCCTCCCCCCACCTCCCCCAGGAGCCTCTGCCGGTGGAGAAGGCAGGACCTGCGGTTCAGAACGCCCTTACCCGGTTGACTTCAGGGTGGAGATTTCCAACGGGTGGCACTGCGTGAGGTTGGGACACAGGAGAGGCGGCGAGGCCATAATTTCTTGAGGCCGTCGGGCCGCGTGAGACCCGAGGTGCTTCCCCGGACTCGCCCGCTTTGCCCTCAGACCCTGCAGCAGCCTGGGGGTCGTGCAGACCCCACCGGAAACCCTCCTGGTGCATGGCGAGGCTTCTGTCTCCCGCTACACTCTGAGGGACACGGCTGTCTGGGGTGGAACACAGGGTCCTCCTTTGAGGGAGGGACACGCGGCCACTCCAGGCTGCTGCCGCCAACACGAAACCCTGTGGATTAGCTTTCCACCAACTTCCAAGGCAAGAACAACAAGCAGCACAAATGCGAGCCCGAACTCTTCTAGGAAGCAGGGCTGCGGCTTACCAGGGGCCTCGGCCCGCGTCCTCGCTCACCACAGATACTAAAAGGTGAGCCACTGGCCTTTCTGCGACAGGAGCCCTGGAGAACTCGCTAGTGTTAGGATGGTGACGAGCAGGACGAACAAAGGGGTGCGGCCACCCCCACGTGGGCACGGGCTGCACCAGCACCCGATGCTGACTCGTTGCACGGCGTTGCCCTCCGCTGACATTTGCCGGGCGCGGGAGGGGACCAGGCTGCCGTCAGGCACCCAGGGCTGCTGAATGGCTCTCAGCTGGCGAGCGAAGGGGGACCCTTTGATCTCAGTTTGGTTTACGCTCCAATTAAACGCTCGGCAGCACCTGTCATTACGTTTAGCCAGAGTCACGGTGAAACGAATTGCGATTCGTTTGGAGCCATTTCTCTAAAACCGTGAAACCGCGTGTCGCCGTCACAACCCTCAGCAAGCTGTCCCTTGCACTGACACATCCTAAACACTTTAGACAGGCGGGGAGGGGAACTGGAAATCCACAACGCAAACTGCCCGTCATACAGGTCTGTTCTGTATATTATGTTGCATTCAGAAAGCCAACACGCAGCCAACGTCGACGTCTGCAGAAATCACAGCCTGCTCCCTACCGGTTTTCCAGGATGGCAGAATGATCACGAAGAGGACCACATCCGATGGAAATCTAGGTGGACCCAACGCGTCTAAATATGCACAAATACTAACCATTCCTCCTAAACACCATGACGAGTAGCCGCAGGGAGTTTCCCTTTTCTTTGTGTGGGTGTGTGTATACCGTGTTTCTCCAAAAACAAGACCTACTCATAAAATAAGCCCTAGCAGGATTTCTAAGCATTTGCGCAATAGAAGCCCTACCCAGAAAATAAGACCTAGTGACGGGCGTGGCCACGCAGCCTATCTGCACAACCCGTGCATTTCGTCACCGAGCGGTAAAGAAGACAAGCAGCCCTTCCCATCTGTCCCACGAGAACTCTAGTGCTCGACATGAGAGACTGGGGCCAATGGTGCTAAAGGAAACAGAGTCGCAAGAAATTCAGGATGGAATTCGGGGTTTGGAGAGTTAGGATGATGTTCCAGAAGAAGACGACTTCACTCTATTTGAATAAATGTAGATTACTGTACCGTACCACATCCCCTGAAAATAAGCCCTAGGGTGTCTTTTTGAGGAAAAATAAATATAAGACCCTGTCTTATTTTGGGGGAAGCGCGGCACGTGTATACTTTTCTATATACTGTACACAGACACACGCGAGAGACGCAAGCCTCCCTCCCACAAGGGAGCACAAGCACACGGCACCCTGAAACCCGGCTGGAGCCCAGTCCAACTCAGACGCGCGGTGCCACAGACTCGGCTCCCGAAGGCCCCAGGGGAGGCCGTTCAGAGGGTGGGCGCGCCACGGAGACCCCCAGAACACCCCACCTCCCCCAGAGAGCCGCACGCTGCCGGAGGGCAGGGCACGGGTGGCCCAGGGAGTAAGTGGATTTGGATGAAGGCGCTCCAGCGGGACGCAGCATGGAACTGAAGGAAGAGAGCTGGCTCTCAGGACACCCGGGTTCAAGTCCCAGGCCTGCCACTCCAAATCCAACCTTGGTGACCTTGGGAAGGTGGGTCGACGTCTCCACATCTGTAAAGCGGGAGATAATACCAACTGCACAATCGTGAAAATTGTAGGAGACAATGCGTGTAAAAAGTGCCCAGCAGACTAGACAAACCTGGAAGAAAAATTCCAAATATTCTACTCGGGCGCTCCGCTCTCCGGGAGGTAGAACAAAACTCCCCACTGCTTAGCCTGTGGGCTGTGCATGGTGACTTCCCCCAGAGAGCCAGCAGGGGAAGGCAGGGGAAGGAGGGAACTTCTCAGTGGAAACCTGACTAACACAACCTCGGCCGGGCCACCAAGGCCACCACCAGCAGTGATGAGTCACGTTGGGAGCACAGACCCTCGATGAGGCGTGATGAGAAGGGCCCTTTCCTCTGTGGCCCTCTCTCCCAAGAGCTCCCAACTGCAGTCGGATCATGGGGAAGCAGCAGGCACGCCCAAATTGAGGGACACTCTACAATCCACCAAAGCCGTCCTCCTCAAAACTGTCAAGGTCGCCCAAAACAAGAAAAGTCTGAGAACCTGTTGGACCAGCAGGAGACTAAACAGACGCAATGACTAAATGCGATGTGGGATCCTCGGACAGAAAAGGGACATTAGAGAAACAAAGAGGAAATCTGAGTACAGAATGGACTTTAGTGAATAATAATAATGCATCGATACTGGCTCAACCATTGTGTCGAAGGCATCATGCTAAAAACGTTAAGATCTTAACAACAGGGTGAGAGCTATATGGGAATTCTTTGTATTATTAATATAAGCTTTGTGGTTTTTCTGTAAGTCTAAACTATTCTAAAATCTAAACTGTATTTTTAAAAGGAGGGAACCCAGCATAGCGAGATTCAAAGAGTGCAGGGCAGGGACGACGCCTAGTGTGGGTCCTCTGCACTCTGAGCCTGAGCCGTGCCGGTGGCCAGAGCTGGCCAGGGGCAGGTGGCAGCCAGGGGACAGAAGGTGGCCCCTCCTGGCCCCCAGCGGGGAGGGACGGCTGGTTCAGAGCACTCCTGCAGAGGCAGACAGGCTGGGGTGCACAGAAAGACAGACGCCCACGCTGACTGCCTACCACCCGCCCCCAGGCTTCCGTCTCCCCACGGATGGCAACAGCCCTGTGGTCCGGACAGCACCTGGAGGCAGAAACCCTATGGCATCCCGGCCTGACCAGATTCTCAGCCCAGCCCAGGCACACTTCTGTGCTTCCCGCTTGTCACGCCCCCAAACCCGACGTGGAAAATTTTTTTAACTTTTTACACACTCTCAAGTCACCGACCTCACAGCAAACCCCTCTCCCAGAAGATGAGTCACCTCCTACTTCACAGAAACCACAAGAAGGGAACCCCCTCTTCGCTCCCCATCGCCCCAAGCATTTCCCCGCACTCCCCGGCATGTCCCCTCCCTCTCTCCTCCGAACACGCAGGGAGGGGCCTCCCGCTCACACGCGCCGTCCCCCCTCCCCAAGCCTGTCCCCCCTCCCCACGCCTGTCCCTCCTCCCCGTCCCGTCCTCCATCCCAGAGGACCTCTGGCCCAGGGGTGTCTGCAGGCTGGCTGCAAGCACAGGCCTGCCATGCTGTCACTCTGAGACTCTCCCTCCTGCTGCATCTCGGCCACCTCCCCGAGATCACACCCAGGCCAGCTCGCTGCCCCCAGGAAGAGGATGGGGAGCGTGGAGCAGGCCCCCCGCTGGGCCGCAGACCCGAGCACGCCAGCCGAGCTCACCTCAGCCCCGGCCCATCCACAGATGCCCACATCCCCTCGTCCACGTGGATGGCCACAGCCCTCCCTCGTTAGCCAGCTCACAACCCCAAATCTTCTTGTTCGGAGGTTCGGAGGTTTCTTGAGCACCAATTATGGGCTAAAAATGTCTCTGTCACTAAGACACAGGGACAAGCGAAACGCGTATTCCGTTATCCAAGTGAAGGAAATAGGGGATAGATGCGCGCTGCTCTGAAGACGGGGAGATGTCGCAGAACTGGGTTGCCTAAAAACTTAACTGGTTTGACTCCAGGTATCCAACTGTAGTTCTCCGAGCCAGGCCAGCAGAGGGCGCTGTCGACTTTGGAAATAGTGAATGTGGCATCACACCGGCCACATAGCCCAGGACCCGCTCCCAGGAATTCTTACCCAGAAGCCGGAGCACAGGGTTAGCCAGGGGGAGGGCAGTGCCACAGTGTCCCTGCTCTGCGTGGCAGGCAGGTGTCTGATGGAGGACCCAGCCTGGCAAGCCCTGGAGCTGGCCCAGGAGCCCTCCTGCCCGCTGGGGCCAGTCGGAGCAGCTCGAAGCAGCTCAGGACGCTGGAGCTCGCAGGACAAGGCAAGGCAAAGCGAGGAAACCGGAGACTCGCCACGTTCTAATCTCTTGCTGGAAACAGTAGAAACCGAGAAAAAAGAAAGCACTTCAAAGAAGCATAAAAAATCACAATGTGGTCAGATTAAGATCAGGGTTTTGTGTGGGGATAGATACAATAAGATAAATACAATGAAGAGGCGTTTATTCCTCGGTCCCCACCAAGTCTTAAATTCTCCTCTGAACTGGGATCCCCCGGTCCCAGCTCAGGAGCCAGGCCTCCCCCTGCAGCCCGGGCCCACGGCCACCCCTCGGAGTCTCACCGCCACTCTGTCCCCGGGCAGCAAGAACAATGCCAGGCTGGCTCTCAGCACATCCTCTTCAGAATTTTAAAAGTCAGTTCAGGGAATGACAAGTTGCAAGGACATGTCAGAGGTTACTTACACCCAAAACAGGCTCCACTGACTCTAATATCATCACCGGTTCAAAGAGACCCCTGGCACTGTCTCACC